CTCATAATCGTTCATGCGGGAGTAGCCTTTGGAACAGAGGCTGCAGTAGAAAGATTGAAGAGCTTCGCGCGCAGAAGATGTCTGGGCCGGAGGCAATGTCTGATGTCGCTGCAGGAAGGTGTGGGTTAGTCACGACTATATCGATATTTTCGGAACTTCGCGCGGTTCACTGACAGGAGGCATGGCGGCAGCGAGTCCGTTGCAAAATTTTGTTTGCGTGCGATCAGACGATGGCTGAAATACGTGTGGTGTATGTGTTGAGGAGCTGTTTGCTGGTAAGGTAAGTGACGACCAAAGTGCATCGAGCCAAGCGCTGTGCGAAGGGGGCCGTTTAATAAGGTAAGGTAGGTGACTTTACCACCTAAGGTATCCGTACGAAATACGTACCTACCTAACTCAACTGGGCAAGTTGCTCGTGCACCGGACGTGGAAATGCAGTGCGGCTCCAGTGTCCCCGGATGGAGCCATGCAACCCCACCAGCCTGGATCCCTGCAACCTATGACGCGCCGAGAAATAGTCAGCCAGGCAAGACGGGACGCTTCTACTCTTTTCTCTCCAGCTTCTTTGGTCCGATACTGTCTGGGTAAGGTGACTTGGAGGCGAGGTTCCGAAATTGGGCAGCACGGCACCTCTTACACACCTTGGCCACTGCACAACCTCGTAGTTGACTCGTCTCGTCCCCTCTAGCAGCCCGCCATTCGGTGCATCTGCCACGACCACGTCTCTTGGCTTCCAGCACCTCGTTGCCTGCGCCTTGCTGTGGCAATTGGCGGGCGGCATCCCTACCATCGCCGCCATGGATTCAAGGTCGCTTCGGTCTAAGGCGTCCGAAGAGACCCTGATATCGCTTCTTCATTTAGATCCCTCCCCCATAGAAACACCACCGGCGGATACCGACAAGGACTTGCCTCCTCTTCCTGAAGATGCTCTTGAGAACAGCGTTTCCTCATTAAAATCCACTTCGTCTGCCCCAGGTTTGAGTGGCAGTGGACATGGAACCATTTTTTACCGTATGTCCTTGCTTCTGACGAAACTTACTGCCTGTTGTCATGTGCTATCTCGCGAATGCTAACCGCTTTTCTGTCCAGTTACACGCATTCAAAAGTTTTCCTCTTACTTGGTGCCAATCTTCACCTCCATACATCTTGCCAACACTTCCATCATTCCCCTGGTTGCGCGCTCCGTTGTTGCTTCTGAGACTTATCTGCTGCAATCCCGGGAGATTTATCAGACTTCTCTAACAGAGCCCCTGCTCGTCGCCTTACCAATTGTCGCCCACGTTGCGTCTGGCATCGCTCTCCGTTTCGCCCGGCGTTCCCAGAACTTACACCGCTATGGAGGAAACACTCCTGGCATGTATGCATTGTATCGGGCCCAAACTGGCAAGACGTCTCGGACGACAGCTTACAACAGCTCGGGCTCGGCGGCGCGCATATGGCCTCCTTTGAGCTACATTTCGGCGTCAGGCTATGCATTCGCGGTATTTCTGGCCGCTCATGTTGGCGTAAATCGTGTACTGCCCCTCCAGGTCGAGGGCGACAGCTCAAACATTGGTCTGGCATTTGTCGCACATGGCTTTGCCCGCCATCCGACATTGTCATGGCTAGCTTACACAGGGCTTCTGCTTGTAGGGTGTGGTCACATGGTCTGGGGGGCAGCAAAGTGGCTGGGGTATGCACCGACAGCCATGGGCTGGAGCGGCAGCGGCTCAAAAGCGATTGATAAAAAGACAAGACAACGAAGGAGGATGGTATGGTGGGGCCTTCACGGTGCTACTTTTGGCGCTTTTGTTGTCTGGGCCGCTGGCGGTTTGGGAATCGTTGCTAGGGGAGGACTTACAACAGGCTGGGTCGGAAAACTCTATGACGACCTATTGGACAAAATCCCCCTTTGCTGATGGTTGAACACTGAAAGGAAGCACCAACGGATGCATTGCCCTGTCCCCGTGGTGTAAATAAACACGTGAGGTGAACACTAAGGCTATGAAGCGGCCTCATATGCTGGTTCGATAACTCTGCAGAGAGTACTTTGTGGTATTTGGATTTAAGTTTCAATAGAATCACGGCACTGAATGGGCCCGAAATAAGGACTTGGGGCAAGAGCTTCGGTTGGTTTTGGAAAGAATATAACAAGACGAAGTCTGCATTTACCACTGCAGCCTCCACGGCCCTCAGCCTGCCTCTTGGATCCCTCGGTCCATTTGCCTTCAATCAATAACCCTAGGATCAGCCCCCAGAGCGCTGCAAATGTCCCGCAGCTCCGTCTGTAATTAACTCAATGAGCTTCTCATCTATTTCAAGTGATTGTATACGTACCATAGAGAACGTGCGACTAAGGAAGACAAGACGTTGCAGCATCCTCGGCTTCAAGGCGAGGCAGTCAGTCTGATGACGAGATTTCAGATGCCCCCCCCCCCCAAGCAATGACACCGGTTCCTCTACTCGTGACAGGCCTGCACGGCGAGTCCAAGGCACTTCTTCACCTCTTCCTTGCTGCAATTCTGTCTAATGCACTTCACAAGACGTTCCTTATCCGCCTTCGCGCAGAGACACTTGGGGGGGGTGACGGGACATTTGCTGATTTTGGACTCGTTTTGAACGCAAGGCCTCGCGCAAGCAGGGGCATCGTCCAATGATTGAGCCGTGGCGATGCCGGCGGCAACGGCAATAAAGGCGACGATGGAGAACTTCATGTTGATTAGGTTACCGGGGTTTGGTTGAAAGGTCAAATATTTCTGTGAGGATAGACGGTGATCAGATGATTGTTTTCTTGGGATGAGACAATCCTGCTGAGTGAAAGAATCGAGGCAAGATACCTGTAATCGTGAACAGTCTTTATAGTCGATGAGCGGGCATCTGAGCTTCTTGCGGAACACCTTGTGGCCTCGGGGCTGGCGTTGAAAGTTCAACAGCGAGCGAAACTTTGACTTCCTCATCGACAATATATCGAAGTCATTCCGGGTGAAATTATATCTCGGGGTGGCGCTAAACCCTGTGACGACAAGCAAATATGGCTGGAGATGGCTTCTAAGTGTGTAAGTCAATCATGGCGATGCTCCAACCACCCGTGTTCGTGGCCGAGAACAAGTAAAAGACGTCGAGGAGGTGGGTTGCGGCCATAAAGGTACCACCGTTTTTAGGTCAGTTCATTGGGCTTCTGGCAAAACCTAACGGCAGTGTGAGCGATGTGTACTATCGTAGCCATTATTATTTTGGGCGTCGAACCTAATCGCGAGGTGGGAAAGGGGCTTCCATCCCCGCAGCATGTTTCACGAATGAAGATGTTATTGAGTGGGCTTCTCCCCGCCTCAGGACCCTTTCAGCCTAATATGAGGGAGTCGGCCGTGTATCACAAGGTGTGATTCGTCCCCGACTTAGCCTGGGTTCAGCCATGTTGAAGGGCACACGTACTTTCTTTTACTTCACTTTTCAAGGCAAGCCTCAGTGCTTCTATCATCATGCGGCGGCTCAAGCATCGAGTAACGAAGACTTCCCGGTTTGAAGTAGATTGATACCTGCTGGCAATGCTACGTTCCTTCAATATCTTCTCCTAGCAGCGACTCACCGGTCTGCCATTGTTAGATCATCTGGGCCGCAATATGTGTTAGAGCTTTGTGATGGGGTCGAATACAAATAACAACAATTGAGAACAATGGCAAGGGTAGGTAGGTCACGAGTGCTGATCAGGATGGATTAATACTCTGTCTGGACGACATAACTCCTCCTCTTCTGCCGGTGCCGGTCACTGGCTGGTTCGATATCAACTTCATATATCAGCGGAACAGTTTTCCAAGTAAATGGGTCATTGTATAAAAGAGCCGGTAAAAAGCACCAGAAACATTATGAAAGATGAGGGGGAAATGTCGCTCGTGATGTCGCTCGTGATGTCGCTCAGCAATGGCATCTTGTCTATTAAAAAAGTCCGTGGTTCTTACACTCGAACGCAGAAAACCTTACCATCGTTATCCTCGTGACTTCAAGTCGTGTATAACCATAGCTTGCATCATGCGCGTCGAAATCGTGGTTCCTTTGCTGTGGCTGACACCCACTGTCTCATGCCATGGTGCAGTCACGAACTACACCGTTGATGGGAAGGTTTACCCGGGCAGGGTATGAGGGCTTTTCTCCAGCGACATCTCTGCCGAAGATCTAATGGTAATGGGCATTTAAAACCTATGTCCCCCATAGAAAGACCGGTGGTGTTACTGGCTAATTTTACGACCACAGCCCGATTATAACCCACGATGAACGTCAATGATATACAAAGCGCTGCAACGGCGGCAACTCAGCAGACCCGACGGGAACCTTGAAACCAGGCACCAACATTACAGCTAATTGGAAGCAGTGGACTCATGCCCAGGGTCTTGTGATGGTCTGGTTGTGTGATTGAGGTAGCAATTTCAAGAGTTGCAGAGGTGACAAGCAGACTTGGTTCAAGATCGATCAAATGGGTCTCTGGGACAGTAATCTCAACAGCGAAAATTGGGGGACAGCCATCGTGCTCAAGCAGCTCAAGTGGTCGAACAAGATACCCAGTAACCTCAAGCCTAGAAAATATCTCCCTCTATACGAACTGCTCGCCCTCTGCCAAGCCAATACCCCTCAATTCTACTTCGACTGTGCGCAGGTTGTGATGGAGGGATCCGGCACGGCTAATGCAACCTTCGTGTATTTCCAGATCGGCATATACCAAGGAGGACACCCGTCTGAAGACCCGCCCGGAGGTGCTGTGTGGTCCGGATGCGAATAGCTGTCGTCACACCACCGTCTTGGATCAGTTGGAATGGTTCTCATTACTGCTTACTCGAAAGGCTATTCCTAGCATCCGTGTTCTATAAACCCTGTCTCACACCGAAGACCCAAACCCTTTTCGTAAATGGGCAGCTATCTAGAAGATGAAGCTGAATGATATCGTTGGCCCTCTTTCCCCATCATTCTTGCTGTAAGCCTCGTCTCCAACATGTCTGTCAGTCAGTTACGGACCTCGTCGGCACAGGGTCCTAGTCCTCCTTGGCCTGCAGGCAAATCTCCGTTGTTGCTGAAGACGAGACTTGGACGTCCTGAAGGACAAGACTTGGTTTTGTTTGGACCAGAAAAGCCGGGTATGATGTTGCATGCTGGGGTATTCGTGTTCGTTTTGACGTAGAGCCAGCCGTTGCATCCCTCTGGAACACTCTGGTGACAAACGGCGCAACAGTCCTGGGGGCTCTGGGCTGAGGTCAACGTAAAGTTCCAACCGACGCCGTTGTCGATGCCTATCCAATTAACGTCGCGAAGGAACTTGGATGAGTTGCATTCAGGGGCCTGCCGTACTGATAAGCAACTGAATGATGATGGCATGAGTACGGAGCCAACATAGGCGGGCCCGCAAAGGGGAGGTGGCTGACTTACTGGGACGAGAGTAGAGGAGGGTGTTGGGAGGGGGATGGAGGACGAAATTTCGGATGTGAAAGTCGTCGGCGTGCTTCCGCTGCCCGGAGAATTCGGCGGAGGCCATTGTGCCCTCAGAATGGCCTTCATAATGACGACAGGAAGGACAGTGGCCAACAGTAGCAAGGCGACGATGGAGATTACGATCTTCTTGTGACGGGCTAGGCTTTGGCAGAAGGCCTTTAGGGCTCCTGGATTGTCCTGGGGCGGTTGGGCTACTGAATTGTCCCAGGCCGGTTCAACGACGCCGTCGTTGCCAGTTCCGAGGTTGCCCATCTGCATGACCTCGGGAGCATCGTGTACCACGACTTGAGGCGCTGAGTTGGGGTCGAATTCCGCATATTGATTTTGAGCCATGGCGGGGGTCTTTTTATCGTGCGGTGCTGTTGTTAGTTTTGTTGTTACGTCGACCTGGATAGGAGAAAAATATGGAAGCTGTCAATGGTGAAAGCAGTGGGAAGGGTGAAGGTGGGAGAGGTTAGGAAGCAGAAAAGTGAAGAAGGCCTGAGCTGAAGGTTGCGGAAGGCGCCAGTAGCTCTCTTCCTCGTTATATGTCATAACTTCTCGAGGGAGGTGCGAACATTGCAAGTGAGAGTGATGATGAGACGGAAGGCAAAAGGGAACCACGAAGGCCAAGGGCAAAAAAGAGAACGGAGACAATCAAGGAAGCAGTTGAGGAAACAAAAGGAAGAAAACAATGCCTGGCTGTGTGAGTCTCCTATGCTTCCATCTGCCTAGCCCGAATGTTGCTTTCCCTTTATTTGAAAGTCCAGCCAGGATAATCCCCCCCTTGTTACAGCTCAAGGCCAACAGGAAGGAACGATGCCATTGTAGCTCTTGGTTCGCAGCACAACGAGCCTGTATGTACCACGCTGACTTTCCACACACCGGTAACAAAGCTCCACATTCAAGGCCAAGTGTGTTGAAAGATGCTTATCATTCGTCGACCCTATTTCGTCTAACTGGGTTTTTCGCCGCCGGTCTCCCATCATAAGATGTTTTAATACTGGTCATACCCCGTCACATCATCTTCTTCTATGACTTCCTCAGCCCGCCATTCTACTAGGCCAGGGTCTTGGCATCACCATCCTTAAGCTTTCCAGCACTAACAAGTCTCTTGACCTCCTCGATCCAAACGCTCTTGATCTCATCGGCAACCTTGAGGCCGTTGAGCTTGTTGGCCAGGGCTGCAATCTCATCGGTATCAATTTTGCCCTGGACAAGTTCAACGTCACCCAAGACGTTATCGATCGTCGCAGGCGAGGCCTCGCCCGGCACGAAGTAGTTCGCCTCCTTGACGGAACCCTTGAGAGCACGCTTGTTCTTCTTGAGAGCGCTCTTGGCAGCCTCCTTGGCTTTCTTGGACGCTTCGCGGTCCTGCTTGGCCTTCTCCTCGGCCTCCTTGGCCGCCTTCTCTTCAGCCTCCTTCTTCAGGCGCGCATCCTCCACAGCCTTTTTCTCGGCCGCCTCCTTGTCAAGTCTCTTCTTGTTTTTCGCAGCGTTGGCTTCCTGTCTGAAACGCTTAATTCGCTCGTCGCCGGCAGAACAGTCGTCAAGCAGCTTGCGGAGACGAGCATTGTCCTCAGCCTTCTTCTTCTTGCGGGCGTTGGCATTCTTGCGCTCAGTGTGACGTTTCTGATCTCTGTTTTCGTTGTCATCGGGGACATCCTCATCCAAGTACTCAAACGTCCTCCAGCTCTCGAAATTGTACCAGAAGTTGTAAAACTCCTCGACTTCGTCCTTGGTAGACTTGTCATCGCCGAATGTGGGAACAGGTTGGATTGTAGAGAAACGTGACTCGGACTTGAAGACATTGCCCCAAAGCTTGTAGAAGTTGCCCTTGGCAAGCTGCTTCTTGGTGGGAGGGTCGACATCGGCCTTCTCGTCAACCGAGTCGAACTGGCGACGCTTGACAGGGTCAAGAAGTACTTCGGTGGCCTTCTGAATGCACTTGAAGAAGTTGTCATCGTCGACGACACCGGCAGCAGCCTTCTTATCAGGGTGGTGCTTGAGGACCTTCTTGCGATGGGCGCGCTTGATCTGATCCTCCGTAGCCTTCCAGCGGTACTTGGTAATGCCGAGAACTTCGTAGTGATCTTGATTCTGCAGAGGCAAACCATGTCAGCGATTATTCCGTACATGCATGAGTCCACGAGTAGGCCAAGCCACCCACCTTCCAGTCCTTGGCATCGCGTTGGAGGAGCATGGGGTCCTCCGGCTCGCTAATGTCGCTGTCGTCATCGTTCTCGACCTTTTTAGCGGCCTCTTGAGCCTGGATACGGTCGTCCTCGGAGAAAGTGCGCTTGTGGCGGGCGCGGCGGGCATGAGCCAGGAAGTGAGGGCCGACAGGCTCAAGGCTGCGCTGAGTGGCAGCGGAGACTGAACCAACGGCCTTGAAGTCCTTCTCAGCCGACCAGCCCTCGGGGAGGGCCGGAAGAGAATGCGCGACAATGGAAGCGGAAGCCATTCCGTCGATTTTTGAGACTCGAGAGGCTCAACCGTAGGTGTCGTGGAAGGAGAAGTTGATGGGATGTCGTCGCTTGGAGGGAAAATTCAGTAGCGTGGGCCTTTTTTTTTTCCCCCTCTCCAAAAAAATAAAAATAAAAAATAACGTGGAGGGGTGAGGTGTCAGTGCACCGACGGGACGGGCGTGGACCTAGCGCCTCCAGCAGCAACCTTTAATTTCTTCTCATACGCTTACTGATGACGGAGGTTGTTGTGGTATCACAATCAAGAATCTGTGCCTTTCGCCCGCGGTCTCCTTTGTAATTGGAGAAAGTCAGACTTGATATCCTTGACACCGAAAGAGCCAGAATAACTATTGCAATCACAACTTTCTGACCGAAGCGGGCCGATCACTCGTTCCCGTTGACGTGGAAACCATCATGTCCGTTCCCGCATATCGACATCTCTGGCGCGCTGCGAGAATCGCCTTCAAGGGTACGGAAACGGTCTTCCCGCTAGATACAGAAACCCACTGATGTTTGAAACTACAGGGGACGACCGCGTTCTCACCGCCGCAAGACAACAAATCCGCCAGGGTTTCCGCGACCAAGCCTCCCTGGCGCCTTCAGATCCTTCCCTAAGACAGGCTATTGAGAAAGCCGAGGATATCGCGAAGATCCTTAGACAAAATATCGTCCAGGGGAAGCAAGACGAAGCCCGTGTATACAGTACGTGATGCGAGTCTCAAGCCATTTTCTGTTCCCAGCGCATTATTGACTTTCTCATTCTCTCAGAGCTGCGGATTCACGAAGACACTGAACGTGGTGACAACGATTCCGTTAAGACGGCCGGTGGCAGTCAGGCGGGCAGATGTGGCTGCAACTAAGAGACAACGATTCACGTGTATAGAGGGGTGCATGTAATTTTGTAAAGTAGACGATGATACCCTGGTTAATGGTGTAAATCCGCCTCGATTGAATCCCCAAGGCCGCCGCAAGAGTGTTCCCGAACGCAGACTCCCAGACTCCGAAAGAATTCTTCATTACCAAAATGGTCCCTTTCTAATCGCCCTGAAGACTTGCATATCGAGGGCCATCGTCTGCACCCGGCGGCGGCGCAACGACAGCTGAAGCTGCTAGCTGGGCAGTGTCTCCAGCACCAGACCTATCTGTGATTTGTTTCCGCCCGGGCTGGCCGCCCCCGCGCGAACGACCTTGTCGCAGGCGAGCATCCATGAGCATCTGGGTTCGCTGCTCCTTGTCCATCGTGCCAAGAGCCTTGGGAACACCCCATCGAACGCGCAGAGGGCAGCCAGCGATGACAGCCCGACCCTGGCACGTCGCCGCTGCCTTTTCTGCAGCCTCTCTTGTCTCGTAGTTGACGAATGCGCAGTGTGACATGTGTGAACAGACCAGACTCTTGATTTTGCCATGGACTTTGAAGAAATCGCGAATCTTGTGCTCAGGCAGGTCATCTTCCACTCCGGTCACGAAAAGAGACATGATGTTCTGATCAGCCGGCGGCATGTAGTCTTGGGGTCCCGGCGGCAGCTGCGCTGCACTAGGGAAGGTCTGCTTGGCTCTGACGGGACGGGCGCCCGTGGCCGCGGCGGCTCTGGAGTCTCTAGTTCGAATCGGTCCAGGGCCACCAATTCCAGCGCCCACGGCGGGGTTGCCTCCAAACCCTTCTCTTGGACCGGGACCCGAGCCGGACGCAGAAGCCGAACTCAACTGCGGTTCGCCGTCCAAGCCATCCACCGGTCGGCCCTTTCGAAAATAAGGCTTGCTGGCAGCTAACCTCCTTAAAAGCTCTCGGGCCTTGTCGTCGGTCTTCTCATACTCCTCCACCCCGGCACGGCCTTCCTCAATGGCACGCTCGTTGTTTTGCGCGAAGTATTCGCGGTTGATATCGGAGGATGGGCCTGGGGCTACCATTTTCAGAGCAGCATCGCGAACGACGATGGGGAGGCCGAAAGACAGGTCGAGCATACATGCTTGGCAGCAATTCTTCAAGCGTGCGCATGTAAGGCAGATATTCGTTCGTTTCTTCCGGCCGTGGGCTCGATCGGCGCTCCAGCTAAACACCGTGAATGGTCTTGTGCACTGTGACACGAAATAAATTTAGCAAATCATGTCGAAAATGGGTGTGAAAAGTATCTTACCAATTTGCATTCCGCACCATAATCCTCCTTGAGCATTTTGACGTAAGGGTTCTCTGGCAGGCAGTTCTCGCATACGGAGGGGAAATCTGTTGACTCCCAACCGGATCGATTTAGGTCCTGCTTGATTTGAGGTGGCATGGCACCTTAGAAGCGCGACCTTCGCGCGGTCGATCGAGGACGATTCGGGTACGGGCCAGCGTTTGGCTTTTGTTGCCGATGGGGGGATGTCGTAGGAATCCTGATTGTGGCGGCGAGCGAGGCGGCAGAAGTTGTTATGCGGCAGGGGAACGGAACTCGGGAGGTACCTGAGGCAAGGATACCCCAGCGACGCTCACTCTGATATCTTATCAACCAAAAGCACGTGACCTGCCAAATCATCTAGTGACTCTGGAGCGACGGTTTAAACATTATCGTGGAACACGTTTACGCCTTAGCTTTTCAGATCTAGTCTATTTTTTGCCTGAAGGAATAGAACCACAATTTCGGGTCGCAAAAGAAGCGCCTACCATGTCGTTGCTGTGAGCATGCTTGTAATTATCTTTAGCACATTCTGAAAAGGCGCTGTGGCTTTCTGCTGCGACCTTCGCTGAAAAAGGGCCCCGTTCGGCGGCGCACCCCTTTAGTTAGCCGGCGCACCCCCTCTATAGCTAACTTTACCTAGACTCTAATACTAGCCCTCCGCCCTACCTACTACTAAATTTCTAGTATTTTTATTTATAGCTTATTAATACTACTACTACTAACTATTTTTTAAAACTATTATGATATTATCATAAGAAGAGATTAAATTTAAGAAAGAGGAGGCTATTATTATACTTAGTATTATATCAGTAGCCTCTACTAGCTCTATTACTACTAACTTTATTTTTCTTAATAACTTCTCTACTACTAATAAAAGTAATAATATTATTACTATTAACTTTAGCTTTATTTATATTTATACTATTAAGTATAATAACTATAGCCTTATTAAGTATACTTACTTTACTTTAAGTAAGAGATTTCTCTTAAAAAAGGCTATGTATAAAGCTTTACTTACTACTTACTTTATTAATAGCTTTTAAGTATATATTATATAAATAGTATATAGTTTTTGAGAGAAAACCTTTTATTAATATATTTACTTGTTATACTATAATAATACTTAAATAAAGTAATATAAAACTTAAGTTTATATATTAAAGTATTATAAAGGTTCCTCTTATATAACTTTTTATTTATAATAAGTTATTATTTAACTTACCCCTATCTATAGTAATTACTTTATATATAATATACTTAATATATTAAAGTAGCTTAAGTATTATAACTACTCTAACTATAAGTTTTTAATACTAACTTCTATTATAAGATATATTAACTCCTCTTTACTAAAGTAGTATTAAATATTATATATTTTTAAAACTATAGTATTTAATTTATTTACTTCCTTATAGCTTTCTATATAGAAAGTATTTAATATAATATTATTAGCTATTATAATATTATTAATATCTTTATTTACTACTGCTATAAAGAGCTTATTAGCTGTATATTAATTAAGTAGCTATTTAATTAATTAGATAACTTAGAGAAGTATTAATACTACTTTAAGTAAGATTCTAAGGATTATACTATAGCTCTTTTTATAATACTATATATAGTAGTTACTTATTTTAAAAACTACTTTAATATCTTATTAATAGATTTAATATATAAGATTAATTACTTTAATATACTACTTTTTAATACATATATTACTAATAGTAATAAGTAAGCTTTTTAAGTCACTTCTTATTTCTTATTTAGTAAGAAGGAATATAATTATAAGTGTGTAGTTAATACTCTTATTACACTACTTGAAAATTATAATATTAAGTACTTATAAGTTACTTATACTAATTATAAACTGACCTTTATTAAAGCTTTTAACATTAGCTTTACTTTTTATAATATATTATACTTTCTTTATTACTAATATATTAATATAAATATTCTTACTAAAACTAAGTATTACTTTCCTTATATTATAAAGAATACGAATAACTAGTAGTATTACTTACTATCTATAGTTTATTTAGTTTTTTAGAGATTAGAATAATCTCCTCTATACTAATATATAAGATAAATATAACTAATAAAAAGCTACTTTTAAGAGTACTAGCTACTCTAACTTTATAGTTAATTATATTTTCTCTATATAGATTATATTTTAGTATAAGAAGTTAGTAGCTTTTTAAACTAATTAGATTACTTATTTTAGCTATATTATAATATTAATTACTAAGTCTTCTTATACTTTTATTAAGTATTAGGTTTACTATTATACTAGTAATTTTAAAAATATCTTTTAGAAATTAGTAGTTTTTAAGGATTAATAGAATAATAACTTAATATAGCATATTAAAATATATAAAAGTAAGGCGTTAAATTAGCTTAATAAAGTCTTTAGTAAAATTAAGTATTATATCTATAATAAAGTACTTAATAACTTTATTAATAAGCTAGTTAAGCTAGTAAAACTAAATAAGAGTAGCTTAATATAAATACTAAAGTATACTTATAAGTTTTACTTAGTTAATAATATATATAGCTTACTTTATTATTATATTCTTTAGCTTTATAAGTAGTAAGATTAGTTACTACTATTAAAAAAGATTTACCTTTATTAGTTTTAGATTTAAGGACTATTTTAACTTATAGTTAGTATTATTAGCTTATTTCTCTTTAATCCTCTATAAGTTAGAGCTAAAAGTTACTTTTATATTATTAAGAAGGTAAGTAATATAACTTCTAAATATAACACCTCTTATTTTAAGTTTAAGATTACTAATAAAACTACTAAGGTATTATTAATACTACTATTAGCTATACTACTTACTTTTAATAAAGCTATAACTACTTAAGAAGGTTTTAAAGTTATTAAATATAATAATATATATGAAGCTAATACTAGATATTATTATTAATCTTATAAGGCTACTACTATTTTTAAGTATATTAATAATATTAAAGTATTTAATCTAACTATTAATATACTATTAAGCTTATTATAATACTTACTTATACTTATTAAGCTTATTTTATAGGTTAAAAGTGAAATTATATAGTTAGATACTATATAGGATATATATAATTTACTATTATTTAAATGTAATACTAATATTAACCTTAAATTTAAAGGCGTATTAAATTATTTTATTAATAAAGTAGAGGCTAGTTAGGTATAAGAAGTAATAGAAGTAGCTAAACTATAAGGAATTAAGTATTAAAGCTAGCTAGGTTATTAATTTAAATAGTGTATTTATTTGTAGATACTAGAGATTATATAATATAATAGCTTTTTAATTAAAATCTAAAAAAACTAGCTATTAAACTTTAAATTATTTAAATCTAAGGAGTTTTTAAACTATTTAATAACTTAGTGAAACCCTAGCTAATCCTCCAGCTAATTTAAGCTAATTAGAGGCCTCTATTTTAACCGCTTAAGTTAGCGTTTCGCTGGTTTTGCTAGTTATTGGAGGTATACGCCTCATACGCTATAGAGGGGGTGCGCCGGCTAACCAGAGGGGTGCGCCGCCGAACGGGGCCCCTGAAAAAGCTGTTCAACGCCTAGATCGTGAAATACATACGCCGAGCTGTAGGTCGGGACGGTCTCTGCATCGGTTGCGTCTGTCACGGGTGGTCTGGGACCTAGCATTGTCTTTGCCCCCTTTATGTGACAATTGCTGCAATTCCCAGCACTGCTGCACAGCATGCAAGTCAGGTACGTGGTAAGTGGACGAACCTGCGACTTGATGCACCGTTCAGATCATGTGCTTTTCACTGCTTATTGACCGGTCCCATCCTCAGACTTGCGACTTTCGATCTCAGTTCTAACGAAGACGAAACAAGGTGGATGGCATGCTCTTATGTTTACCGCTTGGAAGCGCCGCGTCAAGCACTTGAACGTGCCGGCTTTAACCGACCCTAGCGGCTCATTCTGCATGCTCGGGAGCCTGCATAATTCTGAACCCCATGGACAACGAGATCAAACTTCGGGCAGGCCAAAAGTAGAAAGGAGGCCATGGACAAGTTGGAGGAAGTGGCTGGCACATGCCAGCGCGACGTGGCGGCATGGCCACCCCGTCGTGATATGAGGCTTCGAGTTCGTATTCGGCTTGAACAGGCCAACCCGGGTCCCTGCTCTATTGTCCGAGCCGGCATGCATTTACTGCCCGTCACACCGTGAATCCATCGCCTGCTGAACCGATGTGAAGCAGTACTGCTAAGGTAGGTACAAAACACACTCATGTTCAATGTTTATTGGTCAATTGCCGGGAAACTTGGTCTAGACAGCACCAAATAATCCGTGGTACGTGGTTGGATGTTAGGCGTCTGTTAGATGGGGACCCTTGCATCAACATCTCACCTATACTTTCACGTAACCTAGTAGTAGTAGTCTCCTGGGTGGCAGGAGACGCACTCTCTTCTTAGCAATGAGGTATTGAGAGCATCTATACTAAATGTTTAGAGGGCCATCCGGATGCTGCTGCTAGTCGGTCAAGTGGGACCCCCCCCCCCCGGCAATGTACCTTGCAACTTGCCGTATCTCGCTGCTGTACACATGTACCTTACCACTTTACCTTACCTGACCTACCGAGGCGGTCACAGTGTTGGTGGGCATGGGCGCGGAAGTGAAATTTACATGGCCAAAACAGAGAGAAACAATCTCCCATGCCAGCCTCGACTCGCCCGCCGCTCTCCTTTTCCAGCCGACAAGGGGGGAAAAAAAAAAAAAAAAAGAGAGAAAAAGCCCAAACCCCCCGCTCACCCATTTATGCGAAACTACTGAATCCTGGCTCTCTCACTCTCTTGCTCTCTCTTTCATCCTCCTACTGAGTTCTCAACTGTGTCGGAATTTCGTCGCTTCACAGTCTATTGATTGCATCTAGCTTCTCCTACGTAAACCTCAACATCCGTCATGGTTTCCTCAACGAGCAACAACCTCGAGCGCGAGGATCACGCTCGCGATGCCCAATTCAACAAGGCCCTCCACGGTGACAGTGCAAAGGCGACTGGTGGTCTTGCTGCCATGTTCAGCAAGGGCCGCGATGCCAAGCAGGCTGCTGTCGACGAGTATTTCAAGCACTGGGACAACAAGGCCGCTAAGGACGAGACCGCTGAGGAGCGAGCCGTATGTCGAGTTCCCACGCCCGGACGTTGCGATTAAGCATAGACTGACCAGCTACTCTCCTTTAGTCTAGAACAGCTGAGTACGCGACTTTGACCAGACAGTACGTTCACGATGCTCACATGCCTACATGCCTTCCGAATCATGAAGCCGCCTAACTCTCGCCATTTTTCAGCTACTACAACCTTGCAACCGACCTCTATGAGTATGGTTGGGGCCAATCCTTCCACTTTTGCCGCTTCTCTCACGGCGAGCCCTTCTACCAGGCGATTGCTCGTCATGAGCACTACCTCGCCCACCAGATCGGCATCAAGGAGGGCATGAAGGTTCTTGATGTTGGATGTGGTGTTGGTGGACCTGCGCGCGAAATCGCCAAGTTCACCAGCTGCCACGTCACCGGTCTGAACAACAACGACTACCAGATCGACCGAGCAACCCACTACGCCACCAAGGAAGGTCTGGCGAGCCAACTGAAGTTCGTGAAGGGAGACTTCATGGTTAGTCGTACTACCCTTATTTCCAATCCTCATTAACTGGATCAACTAACCGTCCGCTCTCAGCAAATGTCTTTCCCAGACAACTCGTTCGACGCCGTCTACGCTATCGAAGCCACGGTTCACGCTCCTAGCCTGGAGGGTATTTACAGCGAAATCTTTCGCGTTCTTAAGCCCGGCGGCGTCTTTGGCGTATACGAGTGGTTAATGACGGACAAATACGACAATGATAACCTGGAGCATCGCGAAATCCGACTTGGTATCGAGCAGGGCGATGGTATTTCTAACATGTGCAAGGTCTCGGAGGGTCTGGCTGCCATGAAGGCCGCAGGCTTTGAGATGCTCCATCACGAGGATCTTGCCGACAGGCCCGACCCCATGCCGTGGTACTGGCCCCTGTCTGGTGACGTGCGATACATCCAGTCTGTCTTTGACATCTTCACCATCGTGCGGATGACGAAGTGGGGACGAACCATTATGCACAACCTCATTGGAGGTTTGGAGGCTATCAAGCTTGCCCCTGCCGGTACCATGAAGACGGCGAACAGTTTGGCGGTGGCAGCTGACTGCTTGGTTGCAGGTGGAAAGGACCACCTATTCACCCCCATGTATCTCATGGTTGGCAAGAAGCCTGCCAACTGAAGAGCTGGCGATATAGAATACTTATCGCAAAAAGAAGAAGGAATTAAATGAATGGGAAGAGCAGAGGTCATGACATTGCAACTCATTGTATGAGAGTACATTATATCACCACACGTAGCATAATTGTAATTACGAAGAGAAATCATTCATAATATGAAGCACTTACACTCAGTCGTGCTGCCTCCGATCTCTAGGATGTTGTGCGACACGCAATTTGAAAGATGCAAATTTCATCTTGACTCACTCGTGATTCTAGGGCAAGACTTCGTCACGTTGAGGTATTATCGGAATCGTTCGACAATGACAATGCCAGCACCGATCCGTTGTGTGCCTAACTAGCCACCACCCGCCACATTGAAACACTCGAAAGCTATGTCCGATGAGAACTCAGTCGGGACTAACAAAGTCCGACAGGTGGACCCAGCGCAGACCACCGCTCTAAATGTGTCCCGCCATCTCACTCGCAGTTCGGATGGAAACGGGTGGCAGCGGTCGTAATACTGTTGGAGCTCGAACTGGAGCTCGTCGGGATTCAATCGGACCTGCTTTGTGGTGTAGAGAATGGATAGGTGGCTCCCTAGCCAAATGCTTGATTGGCCGACAAAAAAGGCGCGACCGATTATCTAATGCGCAGGGAGAGCGCTAGTCCAGATACGGGATAGCCCCACGTCCAGGGCCTCCCCAACGCTGTTGTTTGGCAGCTCGCCGCAATTCAACGGACTCAACGCCCATAGAGCTAAGTAAAAAAAAAAAAAAAGCTGCGAAATCCCTCGACAGCTCCGGTCACACTCCCATCCCTCTCCCTCCGACGCCCACCTTTCAACCTTCGTCGTTGGCCATCAGTACTCCCGTACTTGCGGCCGTTGACTGTCGCCTACTTGCTCTTTTCTGAAATTGCAACTGGAATTTTGATCTGGGAATACCGGTTTTCCACTTGCGACATCCGCGCCTCAAATCAACCCGCACGCCGAAAACTCAATTCGCCATGTCCCGATTTCTCCGTCCCGCGGCTCGCCTGGCGGCCTCGTCCAGAGCTGCTGCTCTGCGCTCCTCTCCCATTTCCCAGTTCGCCAGCCGACCCGCGGCCTTCGCCGTTCAGACAAGGACGTATGCAGATGCCAAGGGAACCAAGGACTACACTGTTCGTGAGGCCCTGAACGAGGCCCTCGCCGAGGAGCTCGAATCCAACGACAAGGTCTTCGTCCTTGGCGAGGAGGTCGCTCAGTACAATGGCGCGTACAAGGTTACAAAGGGTCTCTTGGATCGTTTCGGAGATAAGCGTGTCATTGATACGCCCATCACTGAGAGTGGTTTCTGCGGTCTCGCTGTTGGCGCTGCTCTGAGTGGACTGCACCCTGTGGTATGTAGTTAATTCCTTCTTCCTGTTGATTGAGTCGATGGTTGGCTGTTGCATCCTTGACGAGAGTGCCTCCTTCAAGACCCGAACTCTTATCTCTAACTTGTGTTCCCTCCCAACAGTGCGAGTTCATGACCTTCAACTTCGCTATGCAAGCCATCGACCAGATTGTCAACTCTGCCGCCAAGACCCTTTACATGTCGGGTGGTATTCAGCCCTGCAACATCACGTTCCGTGGGCCCAACGGCTTTGCCGCCGGTGTCGCTGCTCAGCACTCACAGGACTACTCTGCGTGGTACGGCAGCATCCCCGGCCTGAAGGTTGTTTCCCCGTGGAGCGCCGAGGACGCCAAGGGTCTTTTGAAGGCCGCCATCCGCGACCCCAACCCTGTGGTCGTCCTCGAGAACGAGCTCATGTACGGCCAGACCTTTCCCATGTCAGAGGCTGCCCAGAAGGACGACTTTGTTCTCCCCTTCGGCAAGGCCAAGATCGAGCGTTCTGGCAAGGACCTGACCATTGTCACTCTTTCGCGCTGCGTTGGCCAAACGTTGGTTGCAGCCGAGAACCTGAAGAAGAAGTATGGTGTTGAGGTCGAGGTCATCAACCTGCGCTCCATCAAGCCCTTGGACGTTGAATCTATCGTAAAGTCTGTGAAGAAGACTCATCGCCTTCTCTCGGTGGAGTCTGGCTTCCCCGCCTTTGGTGTTGGCTCCGAGATTCTGGCCCTGACCATGGAATATGCCTTCGACTACCTCGACGCCCCTGCTCAGAGAGTTACTGGTGCCGATGTTCCTACGCCCTACGCCCAGGGTCTCGAGGAGATGAGCTTCCCTACCGAGCAGATCATCGAGGACTACGTCGCAAAGATGCTGCGTCTCTGAGGAATCATACGAAATGAATGAAGGCGTGGGTGCCGGTGTGCTACTTGATGCGATGCTTCCCGAGATGGGACGCAGTTCATAATGGGATGTTGAGCTTGATAGACTCGGGGGAAGCTTGTACTTGTATGTTGCTCAGTTGTCATATATACATCTCATACCCTGAGAGCGCAACTAGTCGTGAAGGATCACCTGTAGACAATTGGCTTGGCCAGACTGCCTGGCTATGCATTTGCGGGCAGGAATTGTGGGCGCATTGACGGAAGGCCCAGCCATGTGTCCGGCGGGGATCGGTCAGTGACTGCTCTGGATTCTAGGGTTGTGAGTGCAAAAGCTAGACGCTCGTCGGTGATTTGTCCCTCCAGGAACCCACTAAATGGGCGAGGCTTTGTGCGATCTGATAGAACAGCGCCGCATATGTATGATGGTGAGCGGGAATGATGGAGGCTCTTGTGAGGTGTATGTCGGGAGCCAAAGTGTCCGCAAAGCTAGCCACCGTTATTGGGCTCGGTAACACACGCGTCGGCCAGGCTACCTTATTCGGTTCATCAAGGCATGGCTTGCCCGACGTGCTGCATAACTTGAGTCCAGTACCTGTAGTCTCATTGCTTGTCGTCTACATGTCCCGAAAAGACAAAATGTCAGCAAGCGCGCACCCAATCCATCTCGCGATTGTTGTGCTGTAATCAAGAGATGAGGTTCAAGACGGCCCTCGCCGTGGGCGCAGCACCTAGCGACCGCCCCACGCGCCGTCACCAACCCCACCTGCCCTAAGCGTACTAAGGCAGTCTGCATTACCAGGGAGCTCGGGCTAGCTACTTTACCCAATTGCATCACCACCACAACTTCATATCACCCACACACCAGTGCAAAGACATTTTGTTTGTGCGTTGAACCGTCATTCAAGATGGCTTCTGATCTGGCTAAGGCCACTCAGGGTCTATCTCTTGAAGACGACGCCTTCAACATCGACGATATTCTGTTTGAGCAGCGACCACGCAAACGAGTCAAACAGAATGTGTTGGAACTCAGGACACACCTTGAGGACAAGTTCCTTACGCCTACCACAGAATTCTCACCAATTTGGCTCAACCGACTCCAACAGTAAAGTCTAACCATTGGTCATCGTCTCTTTCTTGTTGCTAACTTGATCTCTCTAGACGCTGGGACTGCCCCGTGGACTACAATGAGCTATTCAAGATTGGTCAACCTCAGACCCGAACCGTCACACGATTTCAGAGGCATGGTCTAGAGGGCAGAGTGACAGGCTACAAAAATGTGACTGTCCCTGCTAACAGTGCCACGGCGAAGAACTCTACTTCATTCCTGCGCAAGCCAGCCAGCAGAGCTGACTTCGTACGAGGTGCCGCTGGCTTTTTCCCTTTTGCTCCCGGCGGTTTGGAGGGCATCGAGGCCACGGCCGCTCTCGAGGACCAGGTCCATCGAGATGGCGTGGGTGACGATGCAGCACCCTCGAACAGGCTCGAGAGAGTAATCAAACTTGGCGAGGGCGGGCTGCTCGAAGTTGCTCCCGGCCTCAATCGCGGTATTGACGTCAGCATGAAAAAGACTAACGAGGATGAGGCCAGGGCAGTGGAGCAAGAGCTGGACCAAGAGCCTGAGGAGGCGCCGGAAGTCGAAGAGCCGGCAAGCGAAGCTCAAACAAATGGCGAAAGGGATCCTGAGTCCGACGAGGAAGACGGCGAGGACATCGATGCTATCTTGCCTGTTGAGTTCCCGGCTTTGGAGCCACACGGTACCCTTACAGCGTCAAGTGCTAGGAAGGCTGGACGAGAGTGGGCCCATATGGTCGACATTAAGAGAGAGATCCCAAATTTCAGGGAGCTGGTGCCCGACATGGCAAGAGACTGGCCCTTCGAGCTCGACACTTTTCAAAAGGAAGCCATCTATCATCTCGAAAACGGCGATTCTGTCTTTGTCGCTGCACATACTTCAGCGGGCAAGACTGTCGTCGCTGAGTATGCCATCGCCCTCGCTGCAAAGCACATGACGAAGGCCATCTATACCTCACCCATCAAGGCTTTGAGCAACCAAAAGTTCCGGGACTTCCGCCAAACATTCGATGAGGTGGGAATCCTGACCGGCGACGTCCAAATCAACCCAGAGGCAAGCTGTCTGATCATGACTACGGAGATTCTGCGCAGTATGCTCTATAGAGGGGCAGATTTGATACGGGACGTTGAGTTCGTTATCTTTGATGAGGTGCACTACGTCAATGATTTTGAACGCGGTGTAGTCTGGGAGGAGGTCATTATTATGCTTCCAGAGCACGTCACGCTGATCCTATTATCTGCTACTGTACCCAATACTTACGAGTTCGCTTCTTGGGTTGGAAGGACAAAGCAGAAAGACATCTACGTCATCTCCACCCCAAAGCGCCCTATTCCACTTGAGCATTACCTCTGGGCTGGCAAAAACATACACAAGATTGTGGACTCCGACAAGAAATTCGTCGAAAAAGGGTGGAAGGAAGCCAGCCAGGCCATTCAAGGCAAGGACAAGCCGAAGGCCCCGGAAACGACCAACTCGGCGCGTGGGGGCGGTGTTGCTGGCCAGAGAGGAGGCCAGAGAGGTGGAGCACAGCGCGGCGGGCAGCGCGGCGGACCTCGGGGTGGTGGAGGCCAGCAAAGAGGGCGTGGCGGACCACCACGTGCCAGCCATGCCCCAGGCCACCTAGGACGGACTGGTCGTCAAGGCGGCTTCACATCGGCTGCTCAGGACAAGAATCTCTGGGTTCATCTTGTGCAATTCCTCAAGAAGTCCAATTTGCTACCTGGCTGTATCTTCGTCTTCTCGAAGAAACGGTGCGAGGAAAATGCCGATGCACTTAGCAACCAGGACTTCTGCACCGCCGCCGAGAAGAGTGCGATTCATATGACTATTGAGAAGTCAATCGCCAGATTGAAGCCCGAAGACCGAGTCCTCCCTCAAATAATCAGACTGAGGGAACTCTTGTCGAGGGGTATTGCAGTCCACCATGGAGGCCTTCTACCCATTGTCAAAGAGATTGTCGAGATTCTCTTCGCTCAAACTCTCGTTAAAGTGCTATTTGCAACGGAAACATTTGCCATGGGTCTTAACTTGCCAACTCGAACTGTCGTCTTTTCAGGCTATCGGAAACACGATGGTCATTCGTTCCGAAACCTGCTTCCCGGTGAATACACGCAAATGGCTGGTCGGGCAGGGCGCCGAGGCCTGGACACTGTTGGTTCAGTTATCATCGTTCCGCCAGGTGGCGATGAGGCCCCCCCAGTTGTTGATCTCCAGAAGATGATCTTGGGAGAGCCATCGAAGCTAAGATCCCAATTTCGACTCACTTACAACATGATTCTCAACTTGTTGCGAGTGGAGGCACTCAAGATTGAAGAGATGATTAAGCGCAGCTTTTCAGAACATGCCACACAACAGCTGCTGCCGGAGCATGAGAAGGCCGTCAAGGTTTCGGAGGCCGATCTCGCCAAGATCAAGCGGGACTCGTGCAATACCTGCGACGCATCAATTGACGACTGTCACCAAGCCTGTCAAGACTACAAAGTGCTGACCGAGGAAATGTATAAGTTCCTCCTTGGCATCCCTATCGGCCGCAAGATGTTCAGCCAGTCGCGCCTGATTGTGTACAATAAAGATGGCATCCGTACACCGGGCATTCTGTTGTCGGACGGGGCAACAAACAAGGGCCCACAGGGCAGTCCGACTCTGCATGTATGCGAGATCAGACTCATGAGGGAAACTCGGGACTCGACCGACCTTCTACCCTTCATTCCGGCCTTTCGCAAATATCTTACGCCGCTCCCACAGGCGAAGAAGCACATTCGCATTAAGACCTTGCATGTGCCCCTGGGCGATGTAGAGTGCCTCACCAGGTACGTGACGAAGGGTATCGTGCCAGAGATCTTTCAGAGTGGCGAGAAGTACATCAAGGCAAAGGACAGACTCCATTCGATCTGTCGATCATGGGACGACCTGTGGGATGAAATGGACCTTTCCAAGATCAAAAACCTGCAATTTCAGGAGATGATGAAGAAACGAAAGGATGCTGAGCTCACTGCATCGTCGTCTCCATCACTATCCTGTGGACAGTTCTTGAAGCATGTAAGTGACATCTTTTTACAAAGACATATTGACGACGAGCGACTGCTAACGCTATATGAACAAACAGTTCGCGATGTGCCATGATCAGTGGCTCATCAAGGAGCATATTTCTCAGTTGCGCCAGTCTCTGTCGGACCAGAATCTACAGCTGCTTCCCGACTATGAGCAACGAATCCAGGTGTTGAAGCAACTTCAATTCATCGACGAGAGTTCCAGGATTCAGCTCAAGGGCAAGGTAGCTTGCGAAATCCATTCAGGCGATGAACTCGTCCTGACGGAGCTGATTTTGGACAACGTGCTCGCAGACTACGAGCCGGCTGAGATTGCAGCTTTGCTTTCTGCCTTTGTGTTTCAGGAGAAGACTGACTCACAGCCAAATTTGACCGGAAATCTTGAGCGTGGCAAGGACACCATCATTGCTATCAGCGAGAAGGTGAACGAGGTACAAACGCTGTACCAGGTCATCCAAGCCGCGGACGATTCCAATGACTTCATATCTCGTCCTAGATTCGGTCTGATGGAGGTGGTCTATGAATGGGCGAGAGGCATGAGCTTCAAAAACATCACCGACCTCACAGACGTGCTTGAGGGCACAATCGTGCGAACCATCACGCGGCTTGACGAGACATGCCGTGAGGTGAAGAATGCTGCTCGTATCATCGGCGATCCGGAACTGTATCAGAAGATGCAGACTGCACAGGAGATGATCAAGAGGGATATTACAGCAGTAGCCAGTTTGTACATGTAGAAAATAAAGTGTTCAACATGCCTCAAGTCTAATCATAATACGCGTTGGCCGACGATTTGCCTGAGTTTCGATTGAAACCACAAACATGCTGCCGCGGCACAGAGCCCTCCTACAGAAGACTCCTTCCCATGACGTTTTGTATTCGTGAGCTCATTCCTCCAGTATTCTTCTCGCGTGTGCCAACTCCCCAAAAACGCCTGATTAAAAAAGTCCCGAAATCCTTAATGAGTGATGCCAGCCTTGGCTGCTTAATTTGACAGCGTGCGGTACAAATCTATGCTCTCAAAGCCCGCAGTCTTTGTTGCAAGGCATCCTCCTCTTCCGCAGTAGGCTCACTAGCGACAAGCTCCTCCTTGGCTGGTGTTGCGCTATTGAGTTCAGCGTTGAGCTGCACGCCTGCATCATCAGCTAGCTTGCCTAGCAGCTCGTGGACCGCGTCCTCGGATACCTGGGCGCTGGTAGATTGCGAAATGGCGTCCTGATAAATGCCGTTGGACATGGCATACTCTTCGTTTTGCTGTTTGAACTGCTCCAATGTAACAAGGGTCTGAAATAGAGAATGGCCTGTAAGTAGAGGCCGACGGTATCACTACGGTGGTTGTTGCATCGACTCGACATACCTTCTCGGGGTTCATGTTCTTCTGTGCGAGGGACATGGTACGAGACGACTGTCCCATCATGTGCGTCATGCGATTCATTGAGTTATTGGCCTGGATTTGGGCGGCGGAGAGCTCGGCCATATCCGCCATTTGATCCATCTGCTGAGCTAAAGCTTGCTTAGAAAGAAGCATTTTAGCCTTCTGATATGCCTTTGCTGTTTCACCCTTCTTCAGCAGCTATCCCGAACATTAGCCGTGGTTCAAAGCAATATTGCGACGCGCTGTCTGGCGATGACCAACATCTTGGATTTGTTTCTTCAGGATTGGGTCTTGCTTCGCGGCCTTCTGCGCTTCTCGTCGGGCTTGCTTGGCTTGGAACTAGAGTCCTGTCAGTAATCAAAGAAAAGTTGACTTCTCACAGCACGATGGCTAATCAGTATCTCGTACGTACCCTCGCCTGGAACTCTACTTGCATGTCTCGGGACAGCTGACGGTTCGACATGATGTCGTCTGGAGCCTGTTCAGGATCGGGTATGTGGTGGCGGGGTTAACGAGAGGTTATCGCAACGCTACGGCTCTGAGAGTATCGTTTGCCTAATGGCAGTCAGGTAGGACAGATGTCACGGAATAAATATGAAAAGTACAGGCTGTGAACAATATGGTCAACTTCGGACGTGGAGGATATGTGTCACAGGAAGTCTTGCCGTTTATTCAGGCGGCCAGTCAGATATTGGATGATGACTGTCGGCAGGCGACACGAGATAGCGAGCGGTATCGGTTCACAAGCTGGCAGCCTGACACCTGCGCCGGGCGGGGCCATCTCCCAGACCAGCCATAGCGCATGACGTAACGCTTCTAGCCGTGCTCGTGTGTTAGGTAAGCGAAACACCAGCCCAAGCCACTGCCACATGGCTCTTTCCAGCCTAGACACCAGCACGCCTGTGGCTCATCATCAGTGGTTTGTTGGACTGGTCGCCTCAAACCGGACGAACTGTATTGCCGGAAATTGGATGAGACGATATCTATGATGCTCTCATGCGGACGTCCGCGTGGTGAAGGGAACAGAGTATTAAAGGGTAGCCCGAGAAAACCACCCCTAAGGTACATACCAACGTATTCCGTAAATCGATTATCCCATGGCTGCGAAACTAAAAATGAACGTGCAATCATTTCCACGACCTCCACTGCTGGAGAAGGTGTCAAAACACCTGCGAATTACTTGGCAAGGCGAAATGATCGCAGACACCAAGGATGCCTACTGGGTGCTAGAGACTCACCATCCTCCCAGTGTGTTTTTCCTGTGCCACCATCATAAATCTTCGAACCGTCACTGATTCTCGGACAGCATACTATCTCCCATCCACTTCCATTAATGCCCCACTCACCCCGACGCAACAGAGTACATACTGCGAGTGGAAGGGTGCTGCAACTTACTATGCAATTACTGCACCCAGAACATCCAATGTTCAGGAACCACAAGTAGTATCGAATCGCATCTGGTCGTACAATTCCCCAACGCCCGGGTTCGACGCAATCAACGGATATTTGTCTTTCTATGCAGGACCGTGGGACTGTTTTGTAGATGGGGAACTAGTTGAGCCTCAGCCAGGTGATTTTTACGGTGGCTGGGTAACTTCAGACATTGAGGGCATTGTCAAAGGTGCTCACGGTAATTGGGATCCTGTCTTGTGACAGGTTTCCAGATGCAAGATTATGAACTGAGGGTAGTGAACAAAGTACGGAAGTCGAAAGCCACGCAAGAAGCACATGCAACGGGCAGAGGACGTCTGGAAGATAAGGGGTCTTTTGCGACTGAGGGAACAGTTCACTGTACGTACCTCCGTTCCTCACATTGAAACAACGATGAACAGGGGCAACACGGGGAAAATTGACGATCAAGGTGTCTGGCCTTCCGTGATTGTTCTCGAGCTAGGTGGGGAGGGAGGTACTTCGTTCTCCTCTTGCCGATGCCCGACTAGTACTGAGAGACGGATTTCGACAGCTAATTACTTACCCTATTCAGCTTCTCCTCCTCGGTCGTCTCGCTGCCATCTGCGGCAGACGAAGGTCTTTCACTCTCAGTCGGCCCTGAAGGACATTGATCGAATGAGTTTGAATCCGAATCCGACACTACATGGTTATATGCGACGAGCAGGTGTGGGTACCACAAAAAGGGATTCTGGGATGAATGTACTGCGCATGCGGGGAAACTTCGGTACTTGTCACATCCTCGGTTCGCTTATAGCGTAGACAGGCTACAGCCAGTTGCGTCGGTGCAAATAATCGTTGTCGTCGTATCTTGAACATGACCTTAATGTCAAACAAGCACGCAGTACACAGGAGTTCTCGGAATTCCATCCCTTCGACTCATCAAGGTGCACCGAGATTCTGTGTTAGGTCTTCCTCTTCTGCCACCAGCTAGACCTTCTCACATCGTTCGCTCTTTTTTGGAGACGACAGAACGGAGAAGATACATTGACGTACCGAATGGCGCGCCAACAGCGTGCCACGCCCGATTTTTAGATTGAGAGAGCGTCGGCTGCTATTACGTGACTGTACACACAACTACCTGAGGCGTCGACATAGGACTAGGTAGGAGGGCAAAGGCGACAATGAAGGCGACGGCGACTAATGTAATCATAGTTTGTCTTAGCTCGTCGCAAGGCGTTGAGGCGAACTTGACATTAAGTACATAGACCGTCGATCAAAGTCTCGACGGCATGTCAGTGGTTTCATCGGAGGTACACCGTACATATTTAGCCGGGCACATTCCATTTATCATTGGCAGCTCTTAAAGTTCATGGCTGGTACTCCATAAACCGTATCAAAGGTATAGACATGACGAACAGCGGCCTTCAATGGTGCACCCCCAAGGTTGAAGGCGTCGCAGTCTGGACTCAGGAGTCGCCTACCGGCCGGTGCAGCGGATCTGCGGCAATCAGAACGCCTAGGTCACCTCAGGAGCGGTGATCCGATGGATGGGTACGCCGGTGAAGCGGCTGTATCTCTGGTGTCGAGTGCGGAGCGCAGAGCGCCGGCGAACTGTACGACCCCTCCATGTCCACCATTAAAAAGCGGCGTAGAACGGAGACACGCAATATGCTGATCAGGCTGGTGAAGTTCCCTTACTTCGGCTGGGTGAAGCGAGGTCCAGTAATGTGAGGAATCGGAGCGGGAGACAGTCGGTATGAGATTCCTGGATTCCTAGGCAGGCAGGGAGGATCAGGAAGCGTGTTTCCAAGGTGGATGAGACAGAGACGAAGACGACTCAGCAGCACCACAGTGTGCAATGTCTAGGCCCGGCCAATTATGCTGGTTCTGGGTCATTTTCGCAATAGAATTTTGCGACCTTGAGATGACACCAAAGTATAAAACATGGAAGCATATGAACGGAGCGAAAGGTAGTTCTTGTAAGATTCAGCCCGGATTGGGGCACTGTCTTCCGTAAGATACTGAGGTCGGAGGAGGAATTCGCAGTGGCGGCGCTGACTGAGTAAGGTCGCACGAGGGGTGAGGTCTTCAAACTTGGGTGGGCCTGAGCTGGAGCAATGCCGGGGAAGTCGGGTGGCTAAGTTTAGCAAGCGGCGGGCGGTAGACGTCGAGGCACTAAATCAGCTATCGTTTCCGACGTCTGTCAGCGATGGATACCGCGAGTCGTCTCTGTGGGTCGCTTCGGACCTGGACGCATTGCCGCGTAGCACTGTAGCAGAAATGGCAAGTGCGTGAATCGGGTTTGTTGCTATAGTATTTCAACGGTGAAGAGAGTCGGCAAGTTGCGGTGAGCTCAGCTGACAGCAGCGCATGCCGTGTCAGCCATGTAGGCACCTAGTCAGCCAGGTCAGCAACGGCAGATGAGGCACGGCACGCAACACAGCGGAGCGAAGCCAGGCTTACGTGAAGATACGGCAGAGGATCGATTGATCAACCTGGGCGAGAAGCATCCGGACTATCCAGTGCGTCGAAGCCCGCTCGCTTGAGCGGACTCGGAACCTACGAAGAGATGGTCAATTAATTACAGTTCGTGCCTCGCGGAAGCATAGAAAAGGGGGATGCTCCCTGGAGCGGCGCGGCCTACGTTTGGCACGGTGCGCCATTCGTGTTTCCGCCCCGTGGCTCCCGTGTTTCCTGTTTAGAGCTGACCCAAGCCCCCCCCCCTTCCCCATTTGCAAGCTGGACGTGGAACTGGGGAAGACATCCGAGCCAGTGAAACCATGGAGTCGCCACACGCTCCTGCTCTTTTCACTGCTGTCAGCTATTCGTACATAGATCCACCAATCACCATCCACTTACCTCGCTGGATTCGCTCCGAATGCCCCCCTTGCGCCTAGTATCCGTACCTACCTCCCTTTTGGGGTTTCGCCCACTCACACTGATGAGCATCCTCTGCGCCCCCCTCCACTCTACGAAGGTATACCTACAGGTACTTACTTTCCTTACCTTTCTGCAGGCAGGCACGATACGGAGTAGACAAACACGACAAGTCCTACCTCCTGAGACCTTGCGTGATTGACCCCATTTTAGGCGGCACCCTTGCTTCGCTTTCGCCCCCTGTTCCACTACGGCCTCCACTGTGGCCTCAGGTACACCCGTATGTCCTTCTCGCCCTTGCAGCCTTGGGGGCCTTGGGGGCTTGTGCACTTTTGCCTGAGGCAATACACGTTGACCATCCCAAAGCGCCCCCTTGCACGGGGCCAGCGTGGCCTCAACTTACAAAAGAGGCCACATCGCCTGCACTTCACGTTGTGGCCAAGCAATCCTCAGCTCCCTCCACGCCAAACCCATCCTACGAGAGAGAACACTTGTCAACTTGCCCCAGGACCCGGACGATCAAGCTTCCACTTGGACCTGGTGCCTTGTGTCGGTGACTCACCTAATCAGTCTGACTCATTCTACGGGTCCTGATCAAAGAAGTATCATGCCTTCTTAGAATAATGCTCTTTCTATATCTTTTTGTATGAGGAACTAGGACGGCACCTCCATACGTTCAATAACCCACTTCACACCCACATACATCACTGCTGCGACACACTTCTCCCCCGCACCTGGCCTTCCAACTCTCCGCATTGGAACTGGCAGGTCGATTGTGTCTCGCGCTTTGCACCACGAAAAAGTCCTCCTCTCTGCCTATCCCACAGCCCTGTTGCATCACCATCACAACCGCAAACTACGATGGCTGCTTGGGAACAGACGTCACCAATGATCAAGTTCGAAGATTCGCCTGCCGAGTCTTTTGTTTCGACTCCGGGCGAGCTCTATCCATCCCTCTTCGGCGACGCCGCACCCTTGGCCGCCGATGATACCACCGTCAACCCCTCCGATATGTTAACTCCTCCGCCCTTCACCGAGGACAACCCTGTCTCAACCCCGGACACCGACTCTCCTTCGACTGGGAAGAAGCCCGTGAAGAAGAGGAAATCCTGGGGTCAAGTTCTCCCGGAGCCCAAGACAAATCTCCCACCAAGGTATGATGCCATCGGACAATGCCACAGGCCCGTAGCTAACCCCCAGTAGGAAAAGAGCGAAGACTGAAGATGAGAAAGAGCAGCGTCGAGTCGAGCGCGTCCTCCGTAACCGCCGAGCCGCTCAGTCTTCTAGGGAGCGCAAGCGTTTAGAGGTCGAGGCTCTCGAGAGGCGGAACAAGGAGCTCGAGGCAGCCCTTTCAAACGTCACCAAGGCGAACCAGCTCCTGGTCGAAGAGCTGAACAAATTTCGCCGTGACTCTGGCATGCTGACTCGGTCATCATCGCCTCTCGATCCTCTCCGATCCAACACTGTCACCCTATCACCAGAGCTTTTTGGCTCTCATGATGGACACCGTCCCTCTGTCGATGAGACGAAGAATCTCGTCGATGATTTGATGACTACGTCTCATGGCAATCCGACCGTCAACCCCGCGTCGCTATCCCCCGAGCTTTCGCCAATCGCAGAAGATGACGAGGCAGATGCCGAGGACAACGAAGTGGTCGAGACCAACGTGAAGTCCTCCGACTTGACACAACGTCCTGCAGCGATGTTGTGCGACCTGCAGTGTCAACAGTCGGAGGACCTTCCGCAATCATGGCTGGCCTCTCAAACGCCTCTGCATCCGACCTTGGTCTTCTTTCTGCAGCTTCACATGCTGTCAATCACATCATCGGTGATTCTTTCAGTCTGTCGGCGGCCCTTGACACAGATCGCTATGTCCTTGAAAGCGGGCTTCTCTCTTCCCCCAACTCCCTCGATTATGAACACGATTATCTGGCTGGTAACTCTACCGCCTTCCTCCAGGACCCATTCGACATCAGTGAATTCCTCAACGACGAGGTCAACGGCAGTGTCTCAGACACGAACGCGGTTATCGGCACAGCCGTCGCAGCGGACCCGGACTACGGCCGCGACTCTACCAACTCTGAGACTCAAGTCTCTTCAGAGAATCCTAACCTGCAGCCCCACTCTGGCGCGTCCACTTATGGATGCGACGATGGAGGCATTGCGGTTGGTATCTGAAGGATGCGACGAACGTGTTGAAGGGTTGTCGACTGAACCTTCGGCGGGGCGCGACAGCGGTCAGACACCGCGGACGTGGTTGAATGGCGCACCGTTGCCGTCTCGAGAGGTACTCATGACCTTATTATGGGCTCTGAGGGTTGAAGAGCGGAATCTGGTCCGGAAGGGTCAACTTGCACCGCAAGATATCCCCTACTCGAGAAATCGTGCCTCGACATCAGTTAGCACCTATGTGTTTACAGTAGTTTCCAAACGGAAGTGTGATGAAGCGGACCTGACGGAATTTGGGAAGCGTTGTCGATTAGCTTGATAAAGGTTATGACTATGGTGGTGGGAATGGTCACGGCGTTATGGAGGGGTGTCCAGCGAAATTAGAGGTCAAACCTGGGAAATGTAACAACAAATACTGAACGAGAGTCGCCTTGCGACCAATGAACAAAATTCTAAGAACCGTGTCAAGATACTACTAAAGTGTGTCAACGAGCTCACAAAACCAGTGTGTGTATATCCATTCTGAATGAATGTATTCGTCGGGGCTGGGTAACGCCTCTATTATTTACACCGTCCGTGGTTGTCGTAAATAGGCTGGGGACACCGACTTGATAAGAAACCACTGAAGCCTGGTGGTTCAGCAGGACGTGGCTTTGTTCAGCCTCGACGATTCGAGCTGTTAGTTGAGTATTAAACTATTTGCGTTAGACAATATCCCATCCGACATGATCAATGTGCATGCCGCCTTAACAACGCCTTTTGCATCGTTTCTCACTCTTCAGTGATTGTTCCATGCAGCCTCGAAGCACTTTCTCTTGCGCCAAGTCCAAATCTACCAATGTTCCCGAAAGCGCTGTAGGACGTGACAAGAAGAAAGTTCATTCCCGTGGTTCAAGCGACGGCAATCCATAGAAAACGTGATGCCCCGCGGTCTAGCCTCCGTTTATCGTTTTCGCCTCCTCTCCCTTTCCAAGTTTCGTTACATAGTCGGTGATCATACATAATTCGTCGGAATCACCACAAGTCGGCCATCTCAGCCATGGCTGCCTCTTCGTCTTCAAAGTCATCCCCGGCTGGTTGGTTATGTGGAAAGTGAGCCGGTGATTGCATCCGGTCAGCCATCTCTGCTTCCGCCATAAGAGCATCCAAGTCGTCGTCCCCGTCTGGTTCTTCGGTTGGCTTCGGTGCTCCTAAAGCTTGACTCTTGGGTGGCATTACGGGCGTAGCTCCGTATATATCGTCCTCGTCCGGAACAGCTGCTTCTGGTGTCTTCGGGCGCTTTTGTGTGATAGAAGCTGGTGCACTCGCTGTTGCCTCGGCAGCCACAGGACCCGGAATCTCAGCTTCCACCTCGAAAGCGTCATCCGCCTCCCAAGGTTTGGGTTTGCCTTCATTGATCCATTCCAATCGCTTGTGCGCAATTTGCTTCTTGTGCCCCGCCTTCTCTACCATCGCTACGGCGTCGAGAAATTTGGCTTTTGGAAATAAGTCGTCCAGCCAGAGTTGGTAGAAGGATAGCAAGCGGGCTGCATCAGAGAACTAGCAGTGAGTTAGTTGTATCCACGGAATACGCGTCAAAGTAGCAAGAAAGCCGACCTCGTGTCCCTTCCCCTTAAATTGGAGATCTGCGGCGCGCTTTCGAAGCTTGGGGATGCCATTGTCCGAGAGTAGTCTGCAAAAACACGTCGTCAGCTACACATTAGACATGAATGATCGGCTGCGCCAAACCTCACCTTGCCTCGTCAAGTTTGACTCTCGGAACCCTCGCTCGCTTATTCACTTCAACTTCTTCTTCGAGCCCCAGTGCTTCACCCTGTTTCCTCTTGTTCACGCCGAGCTCCTTTGCGTCCGGGGATGGGGTTCGAAACGGGTCATCAAAATCTTCAGCGGCATAATTGTCCAAGTCATCATACCCGGGTGTTGTTCTTGATGTCATGTTGACGAGGCTCTGGGACTTCACGAGGCATCAACAGATTGCACCCAGGGTGGAGTTTAAATTGCCTTAAGATGGATTGTCACTAGCCGACGCGATCACACGCGGCGTGACTTCAATTAAGAAACGCGTCTGTCCGTTGCCGCACAGACCTTCCGATAGGCGAGCCACAAAGTCGGAGACGCCACAGCCACATCCTTCTGCAGCGCAGGCCTCTGAAGTGGTGGTGCCTCAGGCAAAATGCTCCAAGTTCAGTTCCAATCAGCGCCCAGCCATATCCAACTCATCAACCATCTCGAATTGCTGGACGACGATAGCCACCACCGACGCAGTTGGGTCTTGAATTGTCGTCCGCGACCATGGCTACCGCACAAGTGCAGACATATATTCCCACCAAGGTCGTCAAGAGCGATTATCCTGTTCGTACTCCGTCTACGATTCCTCGTTTCTCCGCTGCCGATAACGCTAACGTACTTCCACGAAGCTCATCGACAATGACCCGTATGCCCGAACCCGATTGTCCCGGGCCATATGACAGCTCAGGTCGATTGCTAACGCCGGAATGCCCACAGCCACTTCAAGAGGGTCGTTGGCTATGCCAGGCCTTCCGATTATGCCCACGGAGCTATAGCCGCAGCCTTCGCTCCTGGCGCTCTCCTTGCCCTCGAGAAGTTCGCTCCCTCACATGTCGGTAAGGGAGGTTTGGCGCAAGCCATGCGCCTCGCCGGAGCCATCGGTCTTGCTGGAGGATTTCTTTACTTTTACCAGCGCTCTAGCTGTGAGTTTGTACGACGATCTGAAGGAACGGAGGCCCTAACCACAAAGGCATAGTGCGATTTTACGGTGCCACCGAGAACGCGAGAGAGGTTGAGATGGATATGAAGGAGATGGTCTCCAAGGTCAAGGCGGGAAAGCCGCTATATGGCGAGAGCAGGTTGACCCCTCACATGCAGGGCGTTGCTGCAAGACAGTCAAGATACTCTGCTCTGTTCATGGGTGTCGTGCCTTGGTTCAACTTTGTCAATCACAACCAGCATGGTGTCGACACCGCGAAGTACTACCAACAAGCTGAGAGAGAGCTTGAAGCTGAGCGTCTGAAGAATGGGGGCTTGTGATTGCCTCAGAACCTGTGTGGTTATGCTGCATATGAAAGATAACAACCTTTATGTATTATAGCTTAAGCAGGGAAAAGCTAATGCAAATTACTTACTCTATTAAACTAGTAAACTACCTCTATAGTTATCCTTTTAACTTTATAAATTAGAAATAACTATAAATATTAAATTTATTTATAGCTATTATATATAAATATAAGCTGCTAGCTTTATATTATAATATTTAATTAGTATTAACTATAAAACTTAAACTATTTTCTTTACTTTCCATTTATATATAATATTCTATATAAAATAAATTAATAAAGTTTAAAGTATTAAACCTTATATCAAAACACTCTATTTATTATAACTTATAACTATAATATTAATTATAATATGTATATATAGTTATATAACGTGGTTCATCAGTCAGCCGCGCATATCAGTCAGCCGCGCACTTTTTCCCAGACACGCTCAGTCATTAACCACTTAAACACTCAACGCGTAATTACTCTACAACCACAATGCCAATTTACTCACAAGAAGACAAAATCCTTCTTGCCATCGAGGCGATCTAATTGACACGTGCTGCAGGTCAAAAGCTAAGTGTACGGCGTGCAGCAAAGAACTACGGTGTCCCCGAAAGCTCCTTACGCGACAGAATGAACAACCGACCTCGACGCGAAACTACCCAACCTCAAAGACATAAACTCGATGCGATCGAGGAGAAAACACTTCTATAATACGTTATTGAGCAAGATTCCAGAGGATTTCCTTTGCGCCTCGCCGGTGTGGAAGATATGGCCAATCTCCTGCTGCGAGCGCGTAATGGCGAGCCTGTTGGCAAGCGATGGGCCAGGCGGTTTATGGACTCACAGCCTGCTCTGAAAACCAAGTTTAATCGTCCATACGATTATCAAAGGGCTCTTCAAGAAGATCCTGAGGTTATATCAAAGTGGTTTGCGCTATTACGCAACATGATGGCCAAGTATGGCATCCAAGAGGGGGACCTATACAATTTCGACGAAACTGGCTTCATGATGGGCATGATCACCGCGTCAATGGTGGTAACACGCGCTGATCGACGCGGCAAAGCAAAGTCTGTCCAGCCTAGCAACCGTGAATGGGCTACAGTCATCGAATGTATCAATTCGGGCGGGTGGTGCATCCCTCCGTTCGTGATCGTTAAGGGCGTATATCACCTTGCTAGTTGGACCACGGAATCAGGTTTTCCGGGCAACTAGGTGATCAAACCCACTGCTAATGGATAGACGGTTAATCAGACGGGTCTTGACTGGATTAAACACTTCGACAAACACACTAAGAACCGAACGAAGGGCGTCTACCGGATGCTTATTATCGACGGCCACGAGAGCCATTTGTCGGCCGAATTCGACGATTACTGTAAGTAGAACAATATTATAACCGTCAGTATACCTGCACATTCATCGCATCTACTACAGCCATTAGATATTGCCCTTTATTCGCCTTTAAAACGCGCATACGGTGATGAAATCAACCTATTCATCAGAGCCTCCATAAATCACATCACCAAGTCTGAGTTCTTTATTGCCTTCCACCAGGCCTACAACAAGGTTTTTAATGAGGAAAACATCAGGTCTGCTTTCCAAGGCGCTGGAATTTCACCATGGGACCTAGACCATGTCATCAAAAAGCTTGATGTGCATTTACAGACGCCTACACCTCCCATAGCCAACCCTTCAACACCTCCACCTTGGCAGTCGCAAACGCCCTCTAACCCACAACAAACCGTCTCGCAGTCCAACTTTATCAAAAGTCGCATCTCTGCTCATCAAGGAAGCTCACCGACACCAATTATTGCTGCAGTTGAGCAATTGTCAAAGGGTGCGCAGGCAATGGCGCACTCCATCACTATTTTGACTGATCGGCTTCGTACCCTTGAGGATGCGAATGTAGCACTTGCTAAGCGCAGGAGGGCTAAAAGAACGCGGGTCCAGCTTGGAGGGGCACTTAGTATAGAGGAATCTCAGGTTTTGCTTGGAGGGAAACAAAAAGGGAAACGTCCAGCACCTCAAGAGGACGACGAGGGGGGTCCATCAAAGAGAGCCCAGC